GTTTTTAAATGAAATTAAACATATATTCAATAGACACTTAACTGAAACTAAAAAACGGATGTTTTTCTTACATTCGATAGGAGACAATAGGTCTTTTTTTATTGCTGTCAAAGCATGACCGCTTCTGATGATTGTTTCTTTGGTTTAAGGAGCGTATGGTGTCTTTTTTGTTAACCGTAAATGTACGAATGGCGTGAATTTTGTTTGTATGAACCAGCGATATAACTATGATCAAAACATTATAAGCTTCGCGTAGCATGTAATGTAGTGTGATGATTGTGAAATTTTATATGATAAAGGGTGACAAAGCAGCGTATGGCCCACCTGATGGTCAGCGGCCATTATAACCTATGGACGCTTGCTGCGATACCAAAAATCGTTTGCCTGTAAAGTCGGTTTACTGACGATAGTTGAACGTGACAACGTTTTTTTACAATGTACATAGTTTTTCAAAGTATGAAAGTGCACTTTTTACTGCACTTCATACTTGACGAAAACATGTTAATGTATTATTGTATAGCAGCTGTCCACGCGGACGCATTTCTCACTCAAGTAGGAGAGAGACATTTGTCGAACGCTGCCGGACGCAGAGGCCGATTGTGCCTGTTTGTCGCTCGTTGCGCACTCTCGAATGCACTTCAAGCCTTAAATGAAATGCCTCAGAGCGAGGTAACGCCGCATGAGTCATGTTTTTTCGTGTGTGCAGCCGGCTCCATCGAATTATAAGACGTTGTCACGTCAAAAATATCACTCGCACCGTTGCCTACCCAATCTCCTACTCCGTGGAGCCCTGAAACCTTACACACCGAGAGAAACACAACAGCACGATAAGGTAGTGTTATTTTACTGTAATCTTCTGTAAGGTTACTTCTCCAGACGGGCGCTCCAACCCGAGCGGAAAAACTGCTATGCCCTACCTCTCTCTTTGGCGTAGCGTTATTAATAACGAAATTCGACGAGACCTCATAATTTTTATTGTTGAATTGTGTTTTTTAAGAAGGCGGTTAAAAATGTCAATATATGCGCGTCGCGTCTGTGTTGTTGTTTTCAATCATTTATGTTTATTATTTTACATCCGATTTCCACGTATTTCGCGTGTATTTATTTACTCAATAAAATAAATGGAAGCGTGAGTAAAAATTAGACAAATTAAAACAAATAAAGTATGGTGTGTGCTTGTTAATGTATTCATTGTACTTACTACTTATCGACATTTTATTTATCTATTAATATCAAGGTAACAGGTATGCATTTTTTATTATTATTTATGCTAGCCTAAAATTATTAAATTATTGACAGAATCAGGAATAACAATAAATAACATTTCAGCCAGCGATTTCCTTAACCTACATTGTGGACGCTTTAAAGGAAAATCGACTTATGGCAAAAACAATGATCATTAGGATACTGTTTTCATCAATGATTGATTACCTGTATATTCTTTGCCGCAGAATATAGCATAAATACATTTTAAACATCACTTGCTACTTCAGAATAGTGTTTATCCCAGAACCAGTCATCAACGCCCAACTACCAATCCAACTACACAATTCTAATTCACATATTGAAACATTACAGAGATAATATTGATTTAAACTGGCACATGACGTCACATTTTGGTAAATTTTTTGCTTAGAAGTGCAGGAGCCCCTAAATTTCTCCTAAACTTTGCCGCGCTTTATATTATTGTATTTTTTTGGTATTGATTGGAACAAAAGAAAAAATGAGTGTCCATTATTTTTATGATAATCTAACTTACGGAATAAATAGAATTTCGTTTAGTCTACCCCGACATCACACCTATTACCTATTTATTTATGGTTACACTCGCTTCTTTGCGTGAGAAAGTACAAGATTCCGCATTCTTTATTCTCCAACATGGCCAAAAATTTTGTATTCTATGCGCTAAACGAATTTAAACTTTCCTTTTAAGCGAAATCTGCTTAAATTGCACTTATAGCAGTTTAGAAATGACTCATTGAGTAACCAAATATGTTAAGAAATGGCACAGCGGATATTCAATGCGAATTGGAGCGTCTTTTGGGGAAGTATCCTTCACCTAAAAGAAGACCACAGAAAGATAAAACTACATTTTGATGTTGTGTTTCTGTTGGTGATTAAGGTACCGGAGTATTTTTGCTGCATCGGCTACTTTTTGTGGATACAGAACAGCACTACCTTTTTTGTTTATTTGTTGTTTTAAGGGACTTTTGGACTAAATTGTCCATACCAGCCCCATTATAACCTGTACAATACAATAGCATTCAATAAATTATTAATTCCACAAAAACTTTGCTACTATATTGCCAAGCACACCAGCCTGAGCAGCACTATCTAATCGCGATAACCCACTTATTTTGTCTTTGATGGTATGTGCCTGCCATGGATATTAAAATTATAGTATTAGTTTAAGTCCTCGGGGACTACCTACTTACCTTCATTATGTCATCAAGTTTTCGAAGGTTTGACACTGCTCTGCTCAGCTCACGGTAAACTCTGGCACGTTCTTAACTAACTAACTTCTGGCGTTCTATCGCCTGTACCACGGCGAGTGTTCTGAGGAGTTATTCTCTCTTATCCCACCTTCCCCTTTCCGTCAGAGGACCACGCGCGCTGGCCTACGTTGTCATCGTCTTACTGTGGCTAAAATTCCAACGCGTACAAAGAAATTTGGTGACTCATTTCTTTGTCGCACTATCCGTAAATGGAATGCTCTGCCCGCTCACGTGTTCCCTCCCTCTTACAACCTGGGATCCTTTAAAAGACGCGTGAAGATGCAACATGCAGGCCGGCAGGGTGAGGATGGCTGGTGTGGCAGGTAGAACTGCTGTTTCAGCTATCTTCGCGTCTGGACTTCACCTTCACTTAACATCAGGTGGGGTGGAGTCATTTGTCGGACCTATCTATAAAAAAAAAAACATCGAAGAATTTTCTCGTGATGATGAACTTTTCTTGTGTGGTCACTGCTAAGTGTATGCCCGGACTGCCCAGGTATCAAGTAATCAAATGCACCACCACAAAAACCCACCGCTACGGTCATTTCGATTGCTTACTTTATCAGGTAGCAAAATAATTCACAAAGTAGTGTTATATTCTAGGTTATTCATAAAGAAAGAAAATATATATTATTACTAGCTGACCCAGCGAACTTCGTACCGCCCTAAAAAATAGGGGTTGTCCAGCGGACAAAATTGTGAATCTAAACCATTCTCAGATCCCCTTGAACACACACAAAAAATTTCATCAAAATCGGTCCAGTCGTTTAAGAGAAGTTCAGTGACATACACACTCACGGAAGAATTATATATATATATATAAAGATTTATAATTAGGTACCCATACTCTTAGTATTGGCTACACAGAAATAATATACCTATACGTATTTCTGTGGTTTACTATACTGGCTGAACTAGTGACGAAGTAAAAATACAAGGGCTATGTTAGTCAGCTTTAGGAGACACTTGTAGTAATCAGAGCATGCAGTCCCATTTGGACGAGTCATTTACGTCACCTCACCACAAACATTAAGTACAACATACATATATTTCACTTAGATAGTATATATAATTCTGCAGCCAAATCGAAATATGTATCTAATAATAAACTTAAGAAAGTGTAAAGTAAAAATACAATTTGGTAAAAATATAGTGGAACTAGCGGCCGCCCGCGACTTCGTACGCGTGGAGTTAGTTAGAAATAAAGATCCACTGCTCGTGTCCCGTAGGTGATAGTGTGATAATATGTAGTCTATATGTTGACCCTACTTCCTAATAATATTCATGCCAAATTTGAAGTAAATCCTTGCAGTGCTTTTTGAGTTTATCCCGGACATACAAACAGACAAAAATTCTAAAAACTATATTTTTGGCTTCGGTATCGATTGTAGATCACACCCCAAGTATTCTTTTAAAAAAATATTTAATGTACAGTTTTGACATTCCTACCATTTTATTATATGTATAGCCGAAGTAGGTCCAAAGTTCTTAAATATAGAACCGCGACACCGTGTCATGTCATGTAACATCATGGAGATAACACAAGCACTTGATAACTTTTAAATTCCCACGCGTAAGTACGTAATTTGGTTTATCAAGTAGATTCGTAAATAAACAAGGTGGGTGCTGATAGTTATCTTATCGGATGCCTTATCTGCTAAGCACGGTATGTCTGAGAGAGGAGGGGGGAGGATGAGGTCAATTCCCTTAACACGGAAACTCGTTACGATTTTACCGATTTGTGGTAAAATTCAGTTAAATTTCTAATTTTCACGTTCTGTCACCGTTTTTAAAGTAATTGTGGCTAAAATATCAGTTATGTATCACAAAACCGACATTATGCCCCGACTTCGGTTTTCTGATACACAACTGATGTGGCAGTTGTGTATTAGAAAACTGAAGTTATAAATATGGTAACAAGATAGCAAAGTTTTTTTTAAATCGATCGTCGATCCTACTAATATTATGGCTTGTTACATTCCACTTGCTGATAAAGTCCCTAATAACTAATTCAGAAATCATTTAAAATATACTACTTTTAAATTTTGGTTCCAAAAGCTTTTAATAGAAAATTCTCACATATATATCTGGTAACCACCAACTATTATCTGTAAGGTTATCTGACGTAAATTTGTGTAAAACCGGTCCTTATGTCTTATGTTATATCCATAAACTACAGCTTCTTACACAGTAATTACTCTTTTTTTTTGTTTACTAAAGATATCCTTGGGATTTTTCCAATTCTGTAAACCTTGCAAGCGTGCAAAGTTCAGTAATAAGTAAAATGAAGTCCCAAAGATTGTCTTTACGAGTTTATTGACGTGACATCAATATGAATCCAGCCTGATACTTTGAAGAAGTGGATAATTTTCTAGCAAAAGAATCTGGACATAAATGAACTAAAAATGTTCTCATACCAAAGCACTCGTGAAGTCGCGAACCTATGGTAGCAGTCTAGGTGCCGTTACCGCAAGGCGGTAGCCACAGCTGATTTCACATGTAGCCGGTCGCAGAACCGAGCGCCCGCACCGCGCCGACTGATCCGTCTGTCCGTCGCAGCCGCCGCCGCGCCGCAGCCACGATGATCCGCGTTCACGTGAACTCCACTCAATAAACTGTGAATGTGATTGCAATATTATTATACGTATTGTTCTTTATTTACTCCATTAAAAACTGCTAACAGTGACGGTGAACATTTTTACCAGGAATATTTTTCTGCTGGTGAGGATCCGTTTTTTTTAAATCTATAAATTATGTGTTTTGCCATACACGTTTTATTTCATTAAGCAGTTGATGAATGTGACTGATATTTAATTGTTGTTTTATATAATATATTAGGTGCTATTAATTTCTCTTATATTTAACAGCCAACATTGAATATGTCTGTATCGACTTAAATTAACGCATTTTAGGTGAATTGAGATTTTTGTTTTGGGTTTTCTAGAATAATGTGTTTAATTAACTTATATATATATATATATATATATATATTATAAGTAACTAAATGAGTATGTTTTATAAAAAAAACTATGATAAATTAATCAGTTTTTAAATTTTATCAGTTTCATTGAAATATTTTTTCCTGGGTTTTTGTCAATTTATCATACCTAATTAAAAATTATCTTTAGTCATTCATTCATATAATGAATGATTTTCCATTAATTTCTATTTGTGGTGTTGTGACTCATCAATGTGGCACAACTTTTGAAAATACAGTTTGGAAGAAAATAATATAAAATCATGACAAGGAAAAAAATAAGGTTAAGTGCGACTTTATTGTTTTGTTATATGTATGTACAATGTTCACAAGGTTAAATAAAACAGCAAAATGACCTTGACACCTCATATTTTACAGTGTCCATTATCTGGTAGATAGTGCACTCGCGTTAATGATAAACTGCCGTTACAGCAAGTAATGCACTGATGCATTCATTTTTAATTCCACAGAGCATGATTGCAAATATTTTTACTTATTCGTAATTTTGTTATTCATCAAATGAATACATTGGTTATCTAATCTAATCTATTGGTTTATATGTATTTATATAAATGGATTATTCATTCTAAAGTATAGTAGTAGTAGTTCATTAGTAATACGCTAGTTTATAGGTATTTCATTATTTGCACGCAATATGAAAAATTTCATATAAGTCAATGACACCCATACTAATACGTGAGTCACTTATATAAAGTATTAAATATGTTTATATAATTGTAAACCATATTTATACTATACGCATAAGTATAATATGCTTCCATTTGAGTATTACTTATATGGATACGGAACAATAATGTTATGGCTGATTGAAAGTTAGTTTTTTGAACTTAAAATTAAATAAGAAGTAAATAGATATTTTAACTCCCGAACTGCGCAAGGGCTGTGATTGGGTTCTGAAGCTTAAGATGAAATTATTATTAGACACTGTTGGAGCGACACATTTTTAGATTAATCTTTATCGGTATTAATATTAAAGCACGTATTCCCAATCAATCAATTTTAAATGAAGAAGTAAACTTTTATTTCTTTGTTTTATCACTTTCATTGATGAATTTCAAAAACCACAACGTGTTCTCATTCCGAAAAGCGATATTTGCTAGAAAAACTAAATGTCGCGTCTTTTTAGTCATGCATTTTCAGTTAATGTTATAAATCATTGTAATCTACGAAATAGAAGTCAGTGAAATTGAACACAAAAATTTACTTACCTCGTCATTATGAAATTTCAGTTATGATACTGAATTTTAGAACTGTACTTATAAACTCGATATTTATATTACATAAAAGATAGAACAAAAACACGAAGTGATGGATCTTCAATCACGCTATCTATTAAACTGCCAAATTACATTATCGCTCCGATAATGTAATAGTAATAACACTTTTTAATTTTAATATTTTCTTTCAAGCTAGCACGAGTAATATTTAATTGAAACCAATGCATATAATATCCAAATATTATTGTCAGCAAAACTTCATTGATATATTATAAATTTTCCATCATGCTGTATTAATGTTAGCACCGTTCGTTTGGATCGATAAACTCGAACAAACCGATACAATTGTATCGCGTTTCCTTTTTTGTGCTCATATCGGGCGCACCTTACTTTGCGTGGGAGCTATGCTATGGTACATTCTGCACTATTGTTTGTGACGTTTTCACATGATTTCCTAATGGAGTAATGGAGCATGATCGATTTTAAAGGTAGTTTGACATATTTAAACGGGTAATATTAACTGCATGTAAAACGCCTACCTCAATGTAAGTAAGTATGCGGTGCCATAGAACACACTTAGTTCGTTCATTTTAATTATTCCTATAACATTTTACAAACACAGAGCAGTAGAACATTATTTTAAAACATGTTAGTAGGCGGTGTTTTATTAACGTTTTTAGAACACACTTAGTTTGTTCATTTAATTATTCCTACAGCAATTTGCAAAAAAAAAGCAATGGAACATTATTTCAAACAATCTTTAGGGATTTTGTTTTTAAAAGTAGGCACACTTCTACTTGTTTTCATTAAAAAGTGTCCATTAACCCAAAATAAACTTTTGAAAAGTAAACATATAAATGCGACAAAAGAAGAGATAGTCTGCTGCTGTGAACCTTCCGGATCTAATTGGCGAATGTTATTACGATTTCCGTAACACGACAAACGTTTAAGCCGTAACGTCAGCAACATTTCATATTTCTCGTCTGAATTCTCTCGCCCACGGGGGCTTACTATACGAAGCGATAGAAATTAGATTTTTCGATGAACAAACCCATGCTTTGGAAATCGAAAAATTCAAGCTTCAAATAAAAACAAAGGATTGGAAACTATTCCAAGCTAAAGTTTAGCGTTGTCATTGAGTATATACTCATTATGATTCTTAGGTACTACTCAAACGTTTATTTTAGCAACTTGACGTAAGTGTTTAGAATTAAAAATTCCACGCGGACCAGGCAGGACCGCGTTTGACATTGTGGGTTTACCTATAATGCGAAGAGATGGCGCTGCCTTGCAGCTTAAGAATAGCTAGAAGGAATTTCGACGCGGTCCGTGAGGGCCGCGGTAGCATAATTGGTCAGTGCATTCGCCCGGATTGCGAAGGGTGCGGGTTCGAGTCCCGTCTGCTGCCTGGTCCGCGTGGAATTTTTTCTAGTTATATTTTCTTTAGATTTAAACATCAAGCAGTTACATGCTTTAAAAATAATAAAAAAATTATAACTATAATTGCTATTTCTTCTTTCAAATGTTTAATACTTGTAAAAGTATTCATTTGACATTGTGGGTTTACCTATAATGCGAAGAGATGGCGCTGCCTTGCAGCTTAAGAATAGCTAGAAGGAATTTCGACGCGGTCCGTGAGGACCGCGGTAGCATAATTGGTCAGTGCATTCGCCCGGATTGCGAAGGGTGCGGGTTCGAGTCCCGTCTGCTGCCTGGTCCGCGTGGAATTTTTTCTAGTTATATTTTCTTTAGATTTAAACATCAAGCAGTTACATGCTTTAAAAATAATAAAAAAATATTAACTATGAATTTTGTTTTGACGTGGCTTATTATCCTTCACAAAGAGAAGAGAGAAAATATGTCATTATCACTTATTTTAAAATTTATAATACAAATACAATACTAAGCATTACAACAATACCGTTATCAATTCGCTTATAAATAAGTCGACAAGTGAGCCCAATGGACTTGTTGCCTTTCCACCTGTTCTGGCTCGTCGCATAAACTCTCCCATAAATGTCAAAATCGGAGATGCAAATGCCGTTCCATTGATAGAGAGTAGACCCCCGGTTATTAATTCGGACATTGGACGCGGTCCGTGGTCAATACGTGTACGTCACGCCGATCGTCAATCGGGGCGGCGAACGATGCGCATACAATCGCACGATATCGGGCCCGTTACTCTTACCAGTTTCACTGAGACGACATAGCAGTTTCAGTGTGAAAAAGTGGTTAAACGTTTGATTTTTTTATGTAAAAAGGTGGCAAACAAGCATATAACATGCCTGATGGCAAGAGGCCACCATAGACTATAGACGCTTGAGATATCTTAACTATCACTTGTGTTGTTACCTACCCTAACCCAATCATCTACACCCACCACGGTGCCTACCCTAACCCAATTTCCTACACCCACCATGGTGCCTACCCTAACCCAATCCCCTACACCTACCACGGTGCCTACCCTAACCCAATCATCTACACCCACCACGGTGCCTACCCTAACCCAATTCCCTGCACCCACCATGGTGCCTACCCTACAACACAAGTGATAGTTTTGATATCGCAAGCGTTTATATTCTATGGTGGCCGCTTACCATCAGGCATGCCATATAATAATAATAATAATAAATATTTCCAACACTCACACCAATTAGCCTAGCCCCAAAGTAAGCACTGTAAAGCTTGTGTTATGGGATGCTAGGGTAACGGATAGAATACATATACAGTACATATATAGGTATATTTATATAGAAATACATATTAAACATCCATGACTGGAGTACAAATGCTGGTATTCATCACACAAACATCTGCCCCCACCGGGATTCGAACCCGGGGGGGGGACCTCTTGAGTCGGCGACACCATGAAACCCGGCGTACAAAACACTCGGCCACGGAGGTCGTCAACCATGGTATCCTGGAATCTTACTCAACGACACAAACACACCACCACCAAAAGATAGTTTTATTTTACTGTGGTATTCTGTAATGTGACGGATGCTTCCCCCGTCGTACATTTAGTGCGCAATAGGTGGACAAAAAAAATTGTTAAGTTCTTTTGGCAAATAATGATACTTTTAAATAAAATAATTTTATATATAAATTTTAGAGTAAAAACTACCTACGATCTATTTTACTGTATTTTGAAACTGTCTGCAACAATGAGCTGTTATGGCAAAATTGCCAAAAGTAGCAAGCCAAATAAATACCATTTACTAGATAAAATAATTCATTTGATAAGTGAAAATGAGAATTCTTACTTTTCGACCCCATTTTTAAAACCGTAACAATAAACTTTTTTATCCTTTAATTTAAAATGTAATAGTAAGGTAAAACTACTTTAAAACAACTTTTTAGTTTATAAATACTTAGATTTAAGATATTCCTTATAGTAGTTTGATATTATTTGGAAATTACTTCAAAAACACTTTGATATCGGAGCTTACTGAGTGAGTTTGCGCACGAAACATAGAAGTGTAACGAAACAACGCAACTTTCAAACA